AAGGAATCAAGCCCAGTTGTGTGCGTGTGCCCTGACTGGAAGCAAACCAGCAACTTTTTGGTGCATGGGATGATACCCAACCAACTGAGCTACACCAGCCAGGGCTGTCCTTAGCTTATTTATTCTTAGCTTGTCCTTTGATTCTTTTCTTTACTCCCTTTTACTGATATTGTTAGATGAGGCTTTTTCTGGATTTCTTTATGTTTGAAATATGAGATACTGCCAAGGACATTCAATGCAGCAGTATTTACAGTACCAAAAGAGTGGAAAAACCCAAGTGTCCTAAACTAAGAAAATAGTTTTATAAAAAATGACTCATCTCTATATCCATATGATGGGACATTATGCAGATACTAACAGTCATACATTTGGAGATTATTTTATGACATAGGAAAATGTTTATGATATAGATGGGGGAAAAACAGTATAAAATACAGTATATTTAAATTTTTGAAAATAAGTTTTGTAAAGAAATATGCACATGTATGCATCAAAATCCTGGAAGGAGCTGTTTCAAAGTGGTAGCATTTATTATCTGGGTGGTAAATTTTGTGAGTAAAAAGTCTTTGTTCTATACATTATGTACCTTAAGGTTATATTATTTAATTTATGTGACACTCCTGTCCATAATACTGTTTTCACTCATGAGAGTTCAATTAAAAATTATGTAGCTGTTGAGTTTTGTGGATTTAACATACTCTTAATAAATATAAATTGAAGAGATGCTATAAGAACATGCTAATAATAATCCTGGCATTGGGGCTAACAGAATATATATGAGCTATTTTAATCCCCAGAATCTAGTCTATACAAAGGAGTTTTGTTTTATTGAGGTGTAATAGGGTGAATTATTAGGCAGATGAATACCTGTAGTCTCATTTATTAGCATTTTTGTGTCTTTTTTTTCAGGCGCATATTAAATTTCCTATTGACTACCCATATTCACCACCTACCTTCAGATTCTTGACCAAAATGTGGCACCCCAACATTTATGAGGTAAGAGACATCTATCATAAATTTCTCTGAAGATTTGTTTTTTAGGTACAGTTCTTTAAAATAGCCTTTATAATCTCAGTATACTGTGGTGGTAGTTAATACTATAGCCACAAAGGACTATTTATGGTTTCTCAGTTAGCAATCTCTAGTTTGTTCAAAATTGATAATAGTTTTATAATACCAATTTATATTATAGTTATTTTAAGATTAAGGCTTTAAACCTTTGCTAATTGCTAAGATTATAATGTATATGTGTTAACATTAGCATTTTTTAAAGTTAGTAGATAAAGTCATACAAATTTATTTGTGTACCTGTCCTCTAGCTTCACAGCAAGGGTCACCTGTTGCTATGAACAAAGATTCAACTTTTTGGGGGGATTTATCCTACTATATTTGGACTGCCCTCCTTTCAGGAGTTGCTGTAGAGCAATTGAGAGCCCCTTTTGGAATAAATCCAAGGTGAGGTTCCTTTACTGAACAAGGTCCACATGCCTGGGGAAATCATTTCTAGTTTTGTGGATGAAATTTACTTAGCTTTGTGCTAATCTGGAAGGATGCTAGAATGATGCATTATGTTTCTCAGAATAATAGATGAAGGCCCACTAAATATCCTTTGAGTTCACTTCTTTACCATTCTGTAATTTTTTTCATTGCAGTAGGGCTCTGGAGTTGTGTCATTTTATTATACCTATGACCCAAGCATTAAATTTGCTTTTTAAAATTTGCAGCCTTATTCATATAGTCCCTTTTTTGGCCTGGTGGATATTGGGAAGCACTTTTGCTCCAGAAACAGCTACATACCCTTTAAAATGCTTGTAGGTGAGAAATGGAGAGCTTACTTTAGGGTCCTGAATTTGGATCTCAGTCTGCATAAATTTGCATGCTGGAATAGCTTTACTGTTTTTCACAACCTGCTTTTTCTATAAGGCATTATCTGAAGTATTCTTTGTTTCTTAAAACAGGACAAACAGGTGCTCAAAGAGTGATATGCAGTCACATTTTCAGAAATAAAGTTCCTAGAATATTGTTTTCTTTAATATCTTCAGTATTTGACATAACCATAATACAAACAACAGTGAATATCTTATACTACTCTGTATAACAAAGTCATCCGATTGTAGAAGGGAGAGTATAGAAATAATTCAGTTTCATAAGTTCAAACTGAGTTCAGTACACATAGAAACATTTTTGTGTTCCTGTCCATTTAATAATCAAAAGTTCTTGCCTTCCAAACTATGTAGTATATATAGATTTTAGATAGCAAGAGAGAATTGAGAAGACTCCAGCTTTTGTCTTGCTATTAAGAACTAATTCACATTAAAGTCATACACTCACTTGTTTCCATCTGTTTTCTAATTCTCAACTCCTCTCAAAAAAAAAAACAGCCCTGGCTGGTGTTCTCAGTGGTTAGAGCGTCGGCCCACACACTGAAAGGTCTCGCGTTTGATTCTGGTCAAGGGCATGTACGTGGGTTGCAGGTTTGATCTCTGGCCCCAGTTGGGGCCCTTGCAGGAGGCAACCAATTGATGTCTTTCTCTAACATCAATGTTTCTCTCTTTCTCTTTCTCTCTCTGTCTCTCTACCCCCCTCCACTCTCTCTAAAAATCAATAGGAAAAATATCCTCGGGTGAGGATTAAAAAAAAAAGAAATGAAACAGAAACCAGTAAAGGATTCAGAGCTCTGAAGTAAGAAAGTGTAGGTAGATAAACTCCCCTTTCCACTGTTTTTGTTGTTGTTTTTTGACTACTTAGATATAGGCTACTTAGTTCTGTATTGTAAGAGTTAGAATTGGGTCATTTAAAAACTATTTTTCATATTTATAATAAAAATGTTAACAATAAAATAATGAATGCATATCTTATAAATATTCAGTTTTCCATGCCACAAATGTTTTGTTTTAAAAGAACTCATAGCCCTGGCCAGGTGAGGTGGCTCAGTTGGTTGGAGCGTTGTCCCGTACACCAAAAGGTTATAGGTTTGATTCCCACTCAGTGCATTTACCTAAGTTGTGGGTTTGATCCCACAGTTGGGGTGCATACGGGAGGCAACAGATATCGATGTTTCTCTCTCGCATTGATGTTTTCCTTCATTCCTCCCTCCTTCCCTCCCTCTCCCTTCCTGTCTCTCTAAAATCAATAAACATGTCCTTAGGTGAGGGTAAAAAAAGAGGCGATAAGTCATAGTTAGCAATTACATTTGATGTAGTCAAAGGGATCCTAAGAGACTCTTCTCGCATTAAATTACCCTTTTTGCATTCTGGAAATGGTATCAGAATTGAACTTCCTGTGATTCTAGAGATCGTTGGGACTCATGGTTCTTGGCCAGAAAGGTATTCTTGGAAGTTACTATCTACTCACCCACCTGACCCACCTGTGCTAGAAACACAGTGGATCTGGATGTCAACTGCTCTAGTCACCAAAGTACTACAGAGTTACTTATAACGGGACGAAAGGGTTGAACAATGACAATAACAAAAACAAAAACAAAACAAAAACAAATGCCTACTTAAATTTTAAAATATGGAAACTGATGAAGAGTTTTTGGTATATTAACTTGATGAGCACTAAAAATAAATATTATAGACTATTATTGACTAAAATATAGTTTATTATGTTGTTTAAAAAAATCACAGGATCTTTTGTTACAGTTTTACATCTACATCCACATTACTACAGCATAAAAAGTTAAAAATACTGCTGTTATACGAGCAGATTTAATTATTTTAGCATTTTTTTATCATTGCCATGTTTGTGAAATTTATAAATATCAAGGGAAACTTGGAGAACAAAAGAAATTTAATATGAACTTGTCATCAGTGACTGTACTGCACAATCTATTCCTTTCTGCTTTTTTGTAATATGTTGAGTGAAAGAAAAAATAGTTTCCTTGTTATGTGTTGTGTGCTCAGAAGTAGACAACCACCGAGAAACCCCATTTGCTTCACAAACCATGTTAATACATGAGGTTTTCGTGTACATTTTCTTCACTACAAATGTGACAGTTATAGCAACTCAATCTCACTGCTCTTCAGTATTATTAAAAAATTTTAGCCCTGGCCAGTGTGGCTCATTTGGTTGAGCATCGTGCCATGCACTGAGAGTTTGCTGGTTCCATTCTGGGTCAGGGCACATGCCTGGGTTGCAGGCTCTATCCCCAGTAGGGGGCGTGGAAGAGGCAGTTGATTCATGTTTCTCTCATCGATGTTTCTCTCTTACTCTCCCTTCCTCTCTAAAGTCAGTAGAAACATATTCAGAATTTTTTTCAATAGTACTTATTGGAAAAAATTTTTTTACAGTTAGGTTCACCATAAGATTGAGTGAAAGTACACAGAAATATTTAACATTTCATCCTATTAGCACTAGTGAGTTGCAGAACATAGTATGGAGCTTTATTTTTTTAAATAATAAAGATTTTGAGTGTTTTTTGAAGGAGTATACAAATGATTTTTTCTGTACAGTGTTCGCAGATAAATGCAACTAATGCATCCATTAAAAGAAAGGTTACGGTAAGATGTTATATTTTAGGCTACTTGGTAGCCAATAGGAAAATATTTTGCTATTTCAATTAAGGTTCTAGTTCTGTAGAGCTATTTTTGATTCTAGACCCAGATGGTTCTCAAAACACTAATCTCTATAGCGACCAACATTGTAAGGATGTACCAGTTTGACTACTATTCCACTATCATTAGGGTATGGTATTTCTAAATGTTGTTTTAATAATGATTAAAAATAGACTCTACATGTTGTCTTTTTTAAAAATATGTTTTTATCGATTTCAGAGAGAGCAAAGGAGAGGGAGAGATAGAAACATCAATGATGAGAGGATCATTGATCAACTGCCTCCTGCATGCCTCCTGCTGGGCATTGAGCCCAAAACCCGGGCATGTGCCCTGGCAGGGAATCAAACAGAAATCTCCTGGATCGTAGGCTGATGCTCAACCGCTTAGCCTCACCGGCTGGGCTCTACATGTCTTAGTCAGCTCAGACTACCATAACAAAATACCATAGGCGAGGTGGCTTAAACAACAGACATTTATTTTCTCATAGTTCAGGAAGCTAGAAGTCTAAGATCAGGGTGCCAGCATGATTGGTTTTTGGTGATGACTTTCTTCCTGGCTTATCTCTATGTCCTTATGTGGCTTGAAGAGAGCGAGAGAGAGAGAGAGAGAGAGAGAGCTAGCTCTCTGGTGTCTCTTAGAAGTTTTTAAAAAGGTTGTTGCCAGGTCTGAGAACCATTGCTCTTTGGAATAATAAAATTTAGGCTTTGTAAATGGCAACTAGCCTAATTACACAGTTTATGAGCTTTCTGGTTATTTAGATGGATGATAGGCCATTGGGAGTAAAATGGATAAGACCCATAGTCAGCTTTTCAAAAACCGAAAGAACTGGGTGTAGCAAAAGGTCCTGTATAATAAATCCATAATTATAAAATACATTTTTAAATTACACCAAAAAGACCAGGTAAAAGTAAGAATACTGTATTTGTCGGGGTTCTCCAGAGTAACAGAACCAATAGGATATAGAGAGAGATATATGAGGAGATTTATTAAAGGAATTGGCTCACATGGTTATGAAGCCTGAGAAATTCTACAGTCTGCCCTCTGTAGGCTGTGGAACCAGGAAAGTTGAACGTATAACTTAATCTCAATCCAAAGGCCTCAGAACCAGGGGAAGCCAGTAGTGTAACTCCCAGTCTAATGCCAAAGGCCCAATACTCGGGGAGCTGCTTGTGTTCAGTATCAGAGTTCCAAGGCTGGAAAACCAGGAGTTCTGATGTCCCAGCTGAAGAAGAGAGAAAGAATTTGTTCTACCTCCTGTTTGTTCTGTTCGCACCCTCAATGGATTGGATGATTCCTGCCACCTTGGTGAGGGCAGATCTTCTTTACTCAATGTACTGATTCAAACACTAAATCTCTTTCATAAATACCCTCACAGACACACCCAGAAACATCTGTTTTACCAGCTTTCTGAGCATCCCTTAGCCCAGTCAAGTTGACATATAAAATTAACCTTCACAGATACCTCTTTTTCTACTATTTTTCTCTGCCATTCACATTTACAGCCTTTCTGTATTCTGTGTACAACATTATGTTCACAGGGATGTAATTTAACTGGAAGTACATTTGAATCCTTGAAATAGCAAGATGTTTTATAATAAGGGTTTATTCCCTTCTTATTTGATGACAAAATTTTTTCAGGTGATATAACAAATGGTAGCTTAGCTGGTTCTGCTTCAGCTCCTTTGATCATCCAATGTACATTTCTTTCTCATTGTTATTATTGTCTTTGTTTAGTGGAATTATCTCACACAACTTGTGTGTGGTATTTCTTTGATTTCCCTGAGAATTTATTTTAATGGTTATTCTACCCAGGAATTAAATAATGAAGCCAAAAAAATCACATTAGAATTGATTACAAAGTTGTAATAATGCATTCTCTGATCTTTCAAGCCTAGGACAAACTGTTTAACTTCATTATTTTAGTCATTTCATATAAATTTTATTTTTTCCTTTAAATTGAATTTATTGGGGTGACACTGTTTAACAAAATTATACAGGTTTCAGGTGCACAATTCTATACAACACATCATCTGTACACTGTATTGTGTGTTCACCACACCAAGTCAAGTCTAGGTCTATCAATATTTATCCCCTCCTATCCCCTCCTCCACCTCCCTGTACCTCCCATCTCCCCTGGCAATCACCACACTGTTGTCCTTGTCCATGAGTTTTTTCTTTTTTGCTCATAATTTTTTTTTAATCCTCACCCAAGGATATTTTTTCCATTGCTTTGCAGAGAGAGTAGAGGGGAGGTGACTGAGAGAGAGAGAAACATCGATGTGAAAGAGACACATCGATTGGTTGCCTCCCACCCCGCCACCCCCCAGTCGGGGCCAGGGATTAAGCCTGCAACCGAGGTACATACCTTTGGCTGGAATTGAACCCAAGATCCTTCAGTCTCCTGGCTGACACTCTAACCACTGAGCAAAACTGGCTAGAGCTTCTCAGGCTTTCTAGATGAAGAAGAAGCTATCTTATTTTTCTTGTTCAACCTATTACTACGTATCTACCATGAATAGAAAGTGTTGATTTAAATATATTTTCCTGTAGTATCTTTCAAAGTTAGTGTTTAAAACTCCAGAATGGCTTGCAAATTGTAATTTGTTCGCTTGTTTTTAAAAACTGTTTATCCCAAGAAGATCACAGGTGAAGGTTCTTCTAAGAAGAGCAGCAAACTCTCTGTTGCTTCCTTCTTTGAATGGTGTGTAGCGGGGCGCCAGGCTGAGGCAGGTCGAGAACAGTGCGGCAGGGAGGAGAGCAAGGGGACAGCTGTCACTCACCTGCAGGATCCCAGGTCATTCCAACAACAAAACGGGAGTGGGAGATGNCAGGACCGGGGCCAGAGATTGAGCCTGCAACTGAGGTACGTGCCTTTGGCCAGAATTGAACCTGGGACTCTTCAGTCCAAAGGCTGACTCTCTAACCACTGAGCCAGACCAGCTAGGGCCTAAGTGTTTTTATCATGAAAAAGTTTTGGGTTTTGTCAAATACTTCATCTGCATCACTAGAGATGCCCTTCTTTTAATATGTAGCTTCTAAATACAAATCTGTTATGTCATTCCACTGCTCAGAAATTTTATTTATATTAAACTGTGAACAAAGTAACACACTCCTCTGGCCTAATTTTTATGCTCTATTTTTTATTCAAACTAGGTTCTTCACTACTTTGGATGTAGAATAATGTTTCTTCAGAAAAGTCCACTCCTACTCTCAGGAATTTGTGATGTATTAGGTTACATGTTAAAGAGGAATCAAAGTAGCTAATCAGCTGTCCTTAAAATAAGGAGATTATTCTGGATTATCCAGGTAGGCCCAGTGTAAACACAAGGGTCCTTTAAGGTGGATGAGGTAGGCAGAAAATAAGGGTGAGGGAAGATGTGACTTTGAAAGTCCCATAGAAATAAAACAATGCTTGCTTTGAGGATTAGAGGAAGGAGGCCAAGAACAAAGGAATGTGGTGGCTTTTAGAAAGTAGAAAGGACAAGAAAAGGGATTCTAATGCCTCCAAGAAGGAATGCATTGCTGCTGATAGATTGACTTTAGCCTTGTGAAAGCAGTGTCAGACTTTGACTTACAAAACTGTAGAGCAATAAATTTGTGTTGCTTAAAGCCACTGAATTTGTGGTAATTTGTTACAGTAGCAGTACAAAACAAATAAACTACTCAAGCATATTTTATCTGATCATTTGTGATGTTGGTTTATTTCTCCAGGCAAACTCATGTCTAAATTTCCCTTGGGCTGTTAAAAATTGTACTCATTATTCAAGGCCCATGTCAAAAGTTCCTCAAAAACTAAGCCTTTCATTCTTCCACACCACCTCTTAGGAATTTGCTGTCCAAATATACCTAGTTTCTCTCTTCTGATTTCTGTCATGTTTTTTGACCTTTCTTATGACAACTAACAATAACAGAGTTTTAGAATATATTATTTGGTATTGATTCTATTCTTTTAAAAATGTTCTGTTATCTTGATATGGTTGTGAATTTTTATGTCTCTAAATTTGGGTTGTATATATAAGAATTTTCATATTATATTGTTATACCTTTAATTTCTTAAAATTTTGAATCTTATCTTTCATTTTAAACCAAGAGATAGGTGACTATATCTAACTCAATCTTGTCTTTTCTATTGTCTTGTCTGTTTTTGCATACGGTAAGCAGTACATGTGTTTGACTTAAACTAAGTGTACCTGTGGATTAGGTCCTGTAATTTAAATTTATAAACCAAAATATTAAAACTGTGGTGGTGAGTTCTGTCCCACCACTCAATATTGAGTTAAAATTAAGTTGTTGTGGGGCGTATTTTCAGTTTATATATACCATACTTATTAAAACCAGTGATTGATACTAAAAGTGATTATAGCATCTCTATGCAGATTTGAAGCAAGGACAGACTTTTTGTTTTGTTTCTTTTTATGTACTTTAGGTACAGTTGTGTCTGAAAATAGAAATATTTAGTTGTTTCCCAAGATTCTTGAATCTTGGTTTATCATGTTTGTCTATTTCTATTTTAAAATGATTTTTTTAGAAGGATGATATTACAGACATACAATGTTTTGTTTTTTTAATATTTTATTTATTGATTTTAGAGAGAAGAAGGGGGAGAGAGATAGAAAAATCAAGGACTAGAGAGCCATTGATCGGCTGCCTCCTGCATGCCCCCTGCCAGGGGTTGGGCCTGCAGCTCAGGCATGTGCCCTGACTGGGGATTGAACCGCCATCTCCTGGATCATAGGTTGATGCTCAACCACTGAGCCACGCCAGCTTGGCCAGGGTTTCTTTTTTAACTAAGAAATACATCTTGGAGATGGGTTAAAATGAATATTTATAATATTAAAAATGTTTTAATTTTTTAACATTGATTCCAAATGTGAAGAAGAAGCAGAATTGATTTCTCCTCTAAGGATAAGAAAACAAGTTTTGGAGGAGTAAAAGAAATTTCAGCAGAATTGATGTCCCTTTTTTATGTCATATTTTTGAGTTCTGAATGTGGTTTGTATCTTGTAGAATGGAGATGTATGCATTTCAATTCTTCATCCGCCTGTAGATGACCCACAGAGTGGTGAACTGCCCTCCGAAAGGTGGAATCCTACTCAGAATGTCAGGTAAGGGGTTAATAAAAAAATAATCTTTATTAGGTGGTTCTTAAGATTGGATATTCTCATTAGTGTTAATATTATTATTTTTAAAATACCTTTATTGACTTCAGAGAGAGGAAGGGAGAGGGAGAAATAGAAACATCAATGATGAGTCATTTATCGGCTGCCTCCTGCACGCCCCCTACCAGGGATCGAGCCCACAGCCAGGGCATGTGCCCTGACTGTAGAGCTACGCCTGCTGGGCTGGATATTATTTTTTAAGTACAAAAGAATCCTTTTATATTTGGTTATTTTGTCTTCTGCTAGAGCTTTAAGTAGTATGTATTCATCATTTTGAAGAGTTGTATTTATGGACCAGTAATGCACATATTACCCATTTCTCTATATTCATGTGGGAAGAAATTTTCTAGTCTGAATCCTTCCTCTTACATTATCTTAAGTTTCATCTGCGTCTTGGATCTCATGACTTCCATGTTTGGGATTCTTACTACTTTTTGCAGAAAAGTCTTACATTTTATGAACTGAAAATTGAAAATTGGCTTTACATGCTACTTTAAAAAAAATGTTTTTTAAAGATTTTGTATTGATTTTTAGACAGAGGAAGGAAGAGGGAGAGAGAGAGACAGAAAAATGGATGTGAGAGCAAAACAACAATCAGCCCTAGCTGGTTTTCTCAGTGGTTAGAGCATCCACCCGTGGACTGAAGGGTCTGGATTCCATTCCAGTCAAGGGCATGTACCTCGGTTGCAGGCTCCATCCTGACCCCAGTCAGGGCGAGTGTGGGAGGCAACCAATCCATGTGTCTCTCTCACATCCATGTTTCTCTCTCTCCACCTTCCACTCTCTCTGAAAAACAATGGAAAAATATCCTCAGGTAAGGATTTAAAAAAAAACACACACAAAAAACATCAGTCGCTGCTTCCTGTACACACTCTACTGGGGGATTGAGCCCACAACCCAGTCATGTGCCCTGATGTAACTGGTGCACAGGATGTGGCTCAGCGGTTGAACATCAACCTATAATTGAGCTTCGATTCCCAGTCAGGGCACATGCCCAGATTGCGGACTCTATCCCCAGTAAGGGGCGTGCAGGAAGCAGCCAATCAGTGACTCTCTCATCATTGATGTTTCTGTCTCCCTCTCCCTTCCTCTCTGAAATCAATAAGGGCATTTTTTTAAAAAATTTTAAAAAAATAAAAGAGCTTCCATTATCCTTTTTGTTTGTTTGTTTTATATATAGGGTGTCTCTAAAAAATGTATACATGCACTTTGAATAATTATAAAAGGTAGTGTTTACCCAGACACATTCCATTTTCCAATTTAGCTTTAAGCAGTTAAAGTGTGTATACATTTTGGGGGGACACCCTGTGTATGAGGATGTTTCTTATGATTTGGAACGCTTGTTATATTTCTTGCGATTATCTATTGATCGATGTATTGATCCATCTATCTAGATGGATATTTAGTCATCTGTTCCTTTAATAGTGCTCTGTATGTGTAGTTTGATCACATAACCCTTAAAAGAATTTTGAAAAACTGTATATTGTTTCATGTTTTTAAGTGCAACTTTTTAAAAATATATGTATTTTTTTATTGATTTCAGAGGGAGGGAGAGATAGAAACATCAGTGATGAGAGTGAGTCACTGATCAGCTACCTCCCCCATTACCCCTGCTGGGGATTGAGCCCGAAACCCGGGCATGTGCCCTGACCAGGAATCAAACTGCGATCTCCTGGATTGTAGGTCGATGCTCAACCGCTAAGCCATGCTGGCTGGGCTAAGTGCAGATTTTTACATCACAAATTTAAATAGTTAAAAAATACAGTTTTTTCCTCTTTTATTTTTCATTTTATTACCTTAGGTTTATCCTAATACTTGAAATTTTTTTGTTTGATATTCCTATATTATTTATCCTATATTTTTCTGCAACAAAAATCAGTAATAAATGTTCCTTAATTACTTGTGACAGTAAGGCCTAGTTAAGTTTATTTCTGTATTGAATTATTTTACTAATATACAGTTGATTAAAAGCAATACAAGTTTATTATACTTCTGATATATGTTTACTTTTTAGATTTAATAATTATTAGAAATGCATTTTTTCATCAGATCGATAGACATTTATTTTCAGTTTGTTTATGTGTCCAGGAATAATTTATTTTATTGCTAGAATGAAGCAGAATACAGCTTCAATTTTATATACATATATGTATGACTAATATACATTATATACTAATATGAAGATTAGATACAATGAGTAAGAAACCTTACTTCTTCCATATGATAATGGAATAAATAGAGTGGTCAAACCAAGTCCTTTTAATTCCTGAGTTATTTGGCAAAAATCATATAATGACCTATTGTCAGTCTTTTTTAAAAAATAAGTTTTATTGAGATATAATTTCCATACCACACAATTCTCTGATTTTAAGTGTACAATTCACAGGTTTTTAATATACTCACAGCATTACCATGATCAATTTTTATTTTATTTTTATTTATTTAATTTTTAAAATTTATCTTTATTGTTGAAAGAATTACAGGTGTCCCATTTTTACCCCTCAGTTGACCCCCTCCACCTCACTTCCACCCCCTCCCCAGGCCTTCACCCCGTTATTGTCTGTGCCCATGGGTTATGCACATATGCATATAACTTCTTTGGTTAATATCTTCCCATCCTCTCATTGTTTATGTTTCTCTCTCTCTTTCTCTCTCTCTCTCTCTCTCTCTCTCTCTCTCTCTCTCCCTTCCTCTCTCTGAAATCAATAAAAATATATTTTAAAATATATATATATCTTGGGGAATTTGCAGATTTAGAGGGCCAACTGTATGCATTCATTGTTCTACACCACTTTATACAAAAGACTTGACCATCCACAGATTTCAGTATCTGCAGGTGGGGTTCCTGGAACCAATCCTTTGTGGATACTGAGGGACACATGTAGTTAAGTTTTGGGAGAGTCAAAAGTTATATGCGGATTTTGACTGTACAGGGATCAGTGCCTCTAACCCCTGTGTTGTTCAAGCGGTCAGCTGTACATTTTCATTACGTCATATCAAGGGTACATACTATCAACATGATGCTAACATTCATTACCTTACTGAGACTGTTTTTAGGATTTCTCCACTGTAAAGTTACTCTTTCCCCCTTTCCATTCTGTACTCTTTGGAATGAAGGTAGTAATAAGTGCATCCCATACTTTAAGGAATGAGGAAATTATATCTTCTAGAGGTTGGGATATATGTATAAATTGTTTCAGATTCTTCTGCACAGGAGATTGATCCCTCATTTACCTATTGATTAAATCATTTTGTTCATCATTTTTAATTATCTGAAAGCTAGTAACTCGATTAGGATCTTTACTTTTGTCAAAAGTAGAGAATTGAAAGCTTCTGACTAGCATCAGGATTTCTTACCCAGTTCTTACTGAGCTATTTCCCACATTGTGAGACATGTATACCAAAGGGCCTGTCTGTTCAAGACATATCAAATAACTTGATTATGCTCATTACTCATTCCTTTAAGTACCTTGTTCAATGTAATATACTTATAAAAGGCTGAGAAAATAGATACATAGGGTGGGGCAATAGTAGGTTTACAGTTGTGAGTACCGGAAACAGTTTATTCTTGTATTATTATTTATTAATATTGTATTATTTTCCATATAAACAATTGTAAATCTACTTTCCCCACCCCTGCATTTTAATCTGAGACCCTCCTTCCTACCATGTGTTCTCAGGAACATGTCAGTCAGCAATGGCAGCTTCAGGGCTGCTCAATAGGAATTGTTATATTTGTTAGTTGCTTTACCAGCATAAACAAACACTTTTTGTAGTATGTGACCCATTAAGCTACCACATTTTTGTATATGATTTTTTTTTGCCACAATGCCTTTAAATTCTTCTCCCATCTTGAAAATATGTATTGAGGACTGAGTTTTAACTTTGGAAATAGTGTAAATAAGACATTCAAAGAACCCAGGTTAACTAGAAGGGACAGGCACTCAGCTTTACCTCTCCATACATGATTTCCATCAGATTATGCTAGGTCTGTAAAACCTAAGAATCTCAGTGACCATAGCTCCCTCCCTGCATCTCCATCTATGTATGTGAATGTGTATGTTTTTAAGAGCCAAGTAAATATAGGTTTTTAAGAATGAACCCTTTTTATCTCTCTCAAATGCTGCTTGGGGGGTATGTGTATACACTGGAGGAAAAATGCCAATCTTTAATTCTGCAAAGTTCTAAACTTTTCCTGCTATTTCCAGAAAGACCCGTAAGTCAGATCTTATTTTGTTGTTTGTGTTAGGGCCAGCTTTCTGCCCTGCCTGCCAGAGTACTTGTGGTGACATAGCAACAGAGAAAGGACAGAGCCATCTCATTGACTACTTTCTTGAAAAGGAGCAAATACAGTATTACCCATTGGGTCATAGATGTCTAATTTTGATGCTCTGTCTCCCTTAAATGCTTCTGTAGTTTTGTGTATAATACATGTCTTAGTACTATAGAACTTCACAACTTGCGAGTTTGCTGTTTGCCTCTGTGTGTGTGTGTGTGTGTGTG